TATATATAGATATATATAGATATATATTATGTTATTATTTCTGAGAAAAATGTAAAAATGATCTCCCGACTCTTTTTAATGGTTTATGTTAATCTCAAAGGTTATAATAGTGCCAATTTAAGTCACATACACTTTTGATAAGAACTAAAATAATTCTCGCTGTGAAAATTTCAGCCATGTTAGAAGTCTATGAACTAATTTAGAATAGTTATAGACCATGTGTTATTGCTTCCGAATTTGCTTTGTGATTCTTATTCTTCCACACTTTCAACATATTGTTTCAAAATTTGCTTTGTCATTGTTATTCTTCCTCACCTTCCACCATGTTCGTAAAATGATATTTCTTTTACTTTGTATATTTTTTTCAAAACACTCGAAACAAAACTATTTACAAAACTAGCACTCAAATGATTTTTCTTGAACTATCAAATCGATTCATTTAAGCGTGTTAGGATCAAATTATTAAGAATTTGATAAAAATGAAAAATATTACATAAGGATTTATGGAAAGTTTGGATATTTGAGTTTGAATTTGAAAAATGGATGAAGGGTGGTGCTATATTTGTAAATAGCAATGTTTTGAGTGTTATCATGTAATTGCATACCCTTTTCTTGGATGGATACAAAGCATCAAGTAAAATATGTATGATACTATCATGGGCTGACATAAGTGTAAATCAGGGGACTGAATTATTGTATTCAGCTTCAAGGTGGGTGTATTTCATCCTTTGTCCCCTCTCAACAATCTAATTTGCCCCCTATTTAACCTTTGCTTTAATTGCAACTTATTTATTAGTTAGTTTGAATATGTAATTTATTTATTGACTGTTTTGCATAAAATTATTTATTAGTTTTTTAAATAAATTATTTGTGATAAGTGTGAGCTTCATATCAACATATAATTGATTTAATTTTTAAGAAAATGATGCTGGTTCTGCCCTTAAATACTGTCAATAAACAATGGGAAAACACTTGCTGAAAATTCAGCTTTACTTTTTCAGTACATTTGAACTCTTGACCTTTAGCCTAACCAAGTACATTAATATGTCCCCAGGTGAATGGTTATTATAAAAAACTAATTTTTATCTCCATATAAAACAATGCAACATTTCAAAAAAGGTCCCCAAAAATTCTCTTTAAGTAATTAAAAGAATGACAACATGCAAGAGACTTACATGAAGCCTTTTATTAAAGCACATTCCTTCATAAATTTTGGATTTTGACCATAAGATTTGCAATGAATTTCAGTGAAAGAGCAATCAAAACAAAGGCCCATCAATAACTTTAATAGCACTATACTTTAAATTTCAATAAAACAATGCAACTATACAAGAATTCAAAGCAGAAGTATGCTTTACATCCCACAAATTAAATCACAATAACACAGAAGAAAAAAAATTCCATTTTTCAGAGACTGAAAACTGAGTTCTTCATCAAGCCAACCAATCTGAAACATCATCTGAACAAGGAAACAGACAAATCTGAATCATCTGAACCTTCTCCTTCTCTGTTCCCAGCTCCCAAACCAAACCAAATCTCTTCCTACAAACATCATAAGACACCAACTTACCCATAACCCAAAGATAAACCACCTCCTCCTTCGGATGAAACGCCATGAAATTAAACTGTCCATGATCCCGAAAACCAGTGGGAACCATATCTCTGCATTCACCATCCAATTTTAATATCTCGGAAACACTGACTCTGTTCTTCAATGCCCATTTCAATCCTTTTAAAACCCAAATCCTCAACTCATTTGCATCATACATTGCACAGTGCAGAAACCCGCCAGAATTCCCCAAGCAAACATCATGCTCAATGTCCTCCGGGAGCTCGATTACTCTGCAACACATCCTTTCAAGATCAATGCAAGCAACATGGCCAGGATGAGCGAGAACATAGAGAACTCCATCAAAGTAATGCATCGAAGCGGAGAGCTTGTTGGTGTCTACCCCCCAATGCAGGCTGTGCCGAACCCACTTGCCGGTCTCCGACGAAAAGATCTCTAACTGGCCTCCCTGTGCCAGCCACCCGCTGAAGCAAACCACCTTGAAATACAGTGATTTGTAGGGATCAAAAGCTAATATTGAGAGCTGGTTCTTGCCCCTTGGCTTGGGCAGAGCAACCCATGTTTTCGTGGTTGGATTGCAGACATGAAAAGCAGAGGGAATGCTTCTGTAAAAGAGGAGAAGACCGTTGCTGCAGTCTATGATGCTGGAGTTGTGATTGAATGGGAGGTAACTAAAGTCTGTTTCTTGGAAGCTGCCATTAGAGTTGCAGCCATACCTGGGTTCGGGTTTGCTCTCGCCGGCGCCGCAGCGATAGAACACGCCGGAGAGGATTAAAGGGAGCCTTTTGGCGACGTAACGGTCGGCAATAAGCAGCCGCCATGATCTCGAAACGCATTTGTAGCGGTAGATGCACTTCAACGGCAGTTTGGTTAGAATTTCGATCAGCAAGTCGTCCGTGAGGCCGAAGCCGTTGGTTTCTGTATGATTAGACATGGCGCTGTTGTTCATTTTGGAGAAGCTCATTTTAATGTCTAGGAATCCAAAGCTAGAAAGAGAGATGGAATCCGAGAAGAAGATGCGCGCATATAAAAGAAAGAAGGATTATCATGTATTTATATATCTATCATATAAACATGTATGCCATGCCGCATAAGCTAAAATTGTGATATTTTCTTATATGATGATAAAATTTTGGGTGATATAAATGTAAAAAAATCAAATTTTGGGGATATAAATACATAAAAATTGGCGGAATAGTTATGTAAAGGAACCAAGAAAAAAGAAATATAGATACATGGAAGGTTTTGAGAGGCGCGCTTGTGCCGACTTATGTGGATGCCTTGCACGCTAAACATTCAAAGCGGTGACGTTGTTTCTTCTACGCGAAAGGTAACAACAAGTGTGACGCGTTGGGGTCCATTATATCGAGCTTTCCTTTTGAGAGCATTTTTTTCAAAGCGGTATGACTCTAACTAGCTTTATTTGATTCTCATTATTTTGTTCCGAGCTCATATGCAAGCATCATCCGAACAATGGAGGAGATACATGTGTAACTGTTTCTTTTTTCTTTAAGATGTATCGCATCTCTTATCCTCTTCTGTCTGGACTCCGGACTAAATATTATCTCCAGAAAGAGGCCAAGTAGTTCGCGGTTTTGTCTCGATCATTATTCACCCATGATTATGTGAAGATTTTTATGAAATAGCATTTAAACATAAATATATAGTTGTTCGGATTTGTCCTATGAGTCATTTCCAAAGTGATAGAATTAGAGGAGAGAGAGGGAAATATGAGGAAATAAAAGAACACACATAGACTTATCCCATTGGGGAAAGTTGGGTATCCTCGAAACATATGACCCATTTTATATATTGTAACTGAAGGGCTATAACAAGGAAAAAGAGAGAAATCTTCTTACAGGATATTGGTCAGGAGAAAAGAGCCAAAAACCCCTTTATATATGTATTGGACTGATATTTATAGAAGATATGAGGTCATAAAGTGCAAAAATACATATATGCCCCTGCTTTAGTATAGGTTACAGAATCACGTTGTCTTCTATAGTGTTTTTTCCTACTTAAAACCAATTTAGGTATCTTTTAATATTCATGAGTCTTCTGGTCGGTAGACCCTTGAGTCGGTCGATAGTGTTAGTGTTGATCGACTATTTCGTCTGCATACTTGTCAGCCACTCTGAGAAATCATTCGACTTTGAGAATGGTAGCTAGTCGATTGTGATGTGGTCCGTTGGCTGGTGTACCCAGTGATGATCTTTGCGAAAGTTGTTGAGAGAAACCTCACTTTAATGCTTGTGAGGTTGCTGGGTTACTAGACCTTTATTCGGTCATATGCAGATTGTTTGTTCTCAGTCGATCTATGTGGACCTTTGGTTGGTTGCCATCCTTTAGATCAGCTTTTTGCGAGTTAGCTGGGTGTTCTTCAGCTAGTCAGCTTTATAAATATTAAGTTTTTGGTTTGAAACGTTAGATTGCCTCGAGATTTGTGCATCATTTTTGGTTGTACAATAGTGAATATGAATTTCTCTAAACATTGTTATTCATAAATCTAGAGCATTCTTTCCTCCATTTTTTAAATTTTCGCTCAAATACCAAATTCACCACAAAACTCTTATCTATATATTTTTCATTTTTATCAAATTCATAATATTTGATTGTGATATGCATAAATATATTGGTTTGATAGTTTAAAAAAAAAAAATCTCAATTCTAGTTTTGTGTATAATCAAAAGGCCCCATGCTAATCGAGATGTTCTGAATACGACACATTTCGCTAATAAAAATGAATAAGGATATCCTGAGGATAGGTTCTGGTCCAGCGATCAACCGAGATCAACTCAGAAGACAAACAAACCAGAGCTCGTATAATGGTCTAATGACCAACCCAAAGGGTGAACGAACTGAAAGACCAAATGACATTTGAGTGACCAAATGAGAAAATGGTGATGCAAAGACCAACCAAGTTATCATTTGATTGACTCAAGGATCACTTAGGAAAAAAAATCAATCGATAGGAGGACGTACCACCAGATAATTTGCAACCACACAACAGGAAACTAATATTTAAGAGGTCAGCCAATGAAAAATAATAAGAGCACATCATCCTTAGTTCTCTATCCAAACATTAAATATAGAGGTGTCGTTGGAATATATACGAAACTATAATTTCTCACATCTCTTACACATTCTTCATCTTTTCTTAGGGTGTGAAAAACATCTTTTAAATGACAATGTCTTCTAGTGAAATGTAGCAGTAATCCCTAAGAAAATATATATTTGTGCGTACTTGTGCTGATAAGCAGAGAATATAAAATATATATACAGGACTTCTGTGGGGCATTTGAAGATTACTTTCTTATAAAATTGGCTGTTGGGCTGAAAGGTTGTGATAAGCTCTAGCAAAATTTGTGTGCGTAATACGTACGTAACGTTATGTATGTCAGGGAGATTATTCAGAGAGTATTGGGGGTTATATTAGTGTTATACCCCCATGTAATTTTCCTATAAATTTTGCGCTTCTGTTTTTATATATTTGACGTATTCAGCGCTGTGTGCGTCTTATATTTCCAATTTTTTCTCGATAAACTGACACACGACTTACAGGAATGTCAATTTAGACCCATATTCAATCCATTCGATGGTTCATTTGTATTCGATCCATTAATTATTTTTCCTGGCTTTGATTAGCGTGCTTCAAAATTGGCGTTGGATTTTATTTTTCTGTATATTTCCCTGGCAGCTTTTGTTCCACTAGCTGCCTTTGCTCATCTGGTTCGTCTACGTAATATAAAACTATGCGGATTCACGGCACCCGACCGCCCGGCCGCCCCGCCCCG